GTGGGAAAAGATATGTTTGCAGATAAATTAATATACAAATCACTTTTTGTTCCAGATCTTTTTCTAAGAGTATACTTTCCTGGAAAGGTATATATAGCCATGTGATTGAATTCATTGTACTAAATGTAATTCTACTTTGATTATGGCCTACTTCAAGCATAGGAAAACTAAAAATAGATAAGGAGAACCTGTGATCTCTAAATTAGCATCTGAGAAGGATACAAAAAGAGAAAAAGGTGTTTGCAACTAAAAGAAGCTCAGAAATCGCACATTATTTAGTGACCTGGGTCAAACAAAACAGGTAACACCCTTGTGGCCTTCTCTTGCAATTATAAAGCCACTTTTCATTTCTATTAAGTATGGACATATTTTCATTATTATTCTTTGTTAGAATTTCCAGGCATATTGTTTATTTCCAGATGTAGTTTACTTATGTATAAAATCTACTGAAAATTACTCATTATTTTTAATATTTAAAAGCAAATGCTTGGCCGGGCACAATGGCTCATGCCTGTAATCGTAGCACTCTGGGAGGCCAAGGCGGGTGGATCGCTTGAGCTCAGGAGTTCGAGATCAGCCTGAGCAAGAGTGAGACCCCGTCTTTACTAAAAATAGAAAAAAAATTAGCCAGGCAGGTAAAAATAGAAATAAAAAATTGAGCGAGGCGTGGTGGTGTGCACCTGTAGTCCCAGCTACTCGGGAGGCTGAGGCAGGAGGATCGCTTGAGCCCAGGAGTTTGAGGTTGCTGTGAGCTAGGCTGACGCCACGGCACTCTAGCCTGGGCAACACAGTGAGACTCTGTCTCAAAGAAAAAAAAAGTCTTGGGGAATCCTCAAGAATGTGACAGAATCCTGCCCTGGCTAAAACCCCAAGAACACAACCTCAGTATCGTTCTCAAGAAAATCCTTCTTTATATTCTTACCCAATTTTAACCACCGCAGATGTTCATTGACTGTCACATTGGCCAAAAGTGGCGTGTTAATTTCCCTTAGTCTGTGGGTCCCCACCTTGTTCATGCCCTTAAAATCACTTTTAGAACCACGAATTGTTTCCTGAGTTGAATCAGCAACTGAACTCGAGGAGAAATCTTGAAAGAGGGGCGGCCTCGCCAGGTAACGTCTGTTTCGGCGTCAGACACTTTGCGCTGGAACGGGACAACTTTCCACGCACCAGGTAGATGGGTATCGGCCAAAGCAGGAGGTGCTTTGAGGTCCCGTCTTCTTTTTTCCCTTCAAGCCTGCTTTTCACTTTCACAGCTCCTTGCGTCTCACACGTGTACGGCAACCACAAACAAGGTCATGTAGACACAGCAGGAAAGCGTCAGGAAGGAGCTCAGGCCGCCTTCCCAAGGTGTTCACTAGCAATTACCCTGTGTCAAAACACCGCCCACATAAAAGTTTCCTCATTAGCAGACAAACTTGTTGACCCTTGAAGGAGTACAGAGATCTTGATGTCAGTGCTAAGGAGGCTCACGCTAAGTACTGGTTTCAGTGAAATCCCATAAGCTAACAAAATGCATTTGAATTTATATACACTCTTAAAAGTGTTAATGGGTAGAACAGTAAGTACAAATCATAAGCAGGGACTCACCTAGCTACTCTAAGAATAGAAAAGCATCTTTTAGGAATGTTTTGCAACGAGGTGGTATGAGAGAGAAATCCAGATCTCTAAGGATAAAGGATAAAGCCACTATTCATTTTTTGACTTACGAACTAATTTCCATTATTTACCTTGATGACAGAAATGGAAGGGGAAAAAAGGATAAATACAATCATGACAAACTCAACGCACCTCATATTTCATTTGGGTTCTTTATTTGGTAGATTAACTAGTATTCATAACTCCAGAACCACATCCTGAAAAGTAATTACTAAGTACCTGTAATTAAGGGCTGTGCTATACAATGTACATTTAAAATTTATTAAACAAGAAGAATCCATGCCATCTAGAAATTATCAATTATCTGATGATAAAACAGTGTAGTGTTAGCGTTATACCCAGCTATGGAGGCCTGCCGCAGTATGAAGTATGATTGGATTACCATTGACCCATTAGGGAAATAATCCATCCACATTAAATACAAGTTATTATTTGACTGTAATTGAACATTTACCAGAGATGCCAGAAAGGAAGGGCAATTTTAATTCACTTAAATTGCCCAATTCATCAAAGAAAATCTTATCTTCTAAACAAAATGGAAAAATAGCAATACATTGAACCATAAATGATACATTTTAATTACTCAGTTGAAGAGGTGAGCATTAGTGCTTCCTTAGCAACTCTCTCTTATAAAAGACACCTAAGTTTAATTGTAAACTAACCAAAGCATTAGTTGAATTTCACCACCGTGGAAGATTTATATGGTATACAACAAGCAACTTATTTTTATAATAACATTTAAACAAATACCAGTTCCCGTCATTAACTGCCTACGACCTAGATATAGCCTATACAATTAACTTATGTTTACCTACTTGCTTGGTCACGGCCATGACAATTAGAGTAGTCGTGAGCAACTGGTGTCTTGCAACTCCCTCTCCTCTCTCCTGTAGAATGAAGAAATTGAGCTCCACCTCTGAGGTTCCTTGCAATTATCAAATTCTGTGCCTTCGTACTGATCGACCTGGTTGCCCCGCCTGTTGCATTGATGGCTTGTACAGAGAGCGTTAAAAATACACAGGGAAGATTTTTATTCTTTTCTTGGTTCTTGGGACACATTACTTTTCTCTTAATGGCTGGAATGATAGAATTATATGAAGGCATTTATTTAACTTGGTTGGTTCATAATTGCAAGTAGTAAAGTTAATCCAACCGTCACCAAAATCTGAATTGTATTGATAAAGAGAAATAAGGACAAGTAATGATAAGGACGTGTTTTCAGTGGTTTTTATAGTTAATTTTTGTTCTCAAGGAGGCAAAGAGGGTTTGGATGAAAGTGTTCCAGGTCCAGGAAATATAACAGTTGAAACATGAAAGTGGAGAGATTGTTCATTTTTTCACTTTTAAACAATGTTCTACACATTACACAATGATCATGTACAATAGGAGGGCTTAAAGGTTTCTTTCTTTTTTTTGTTTTAAAAGACAGAGTCTTGCTCTGTCTCTCTGGCTAGAGTGCTGTGGTGTCAGCCCAGCTCACAGCAACCTCAATCTCCTGGGCTTGAGCCATCCTCCTGCCTCAGCCTCTCGGGTAGCTGGGACTACAGGCGCACGCCACTCTACCCTGCTGATTTTTCTATTTTTTTGTGTAGAGACAGGGTCCACTGAATGAGTCACCATGTTGGGCCTTAAGGAATTCTTAAATGCCTATAAGATAACACATGAAGTCCTCTTTTTCTCCTGAAAGTTTACCATAAACTTTCAGGGAGATCTGGGACTACTTAATCTCTAAGGCTGTTTCTTTATTTTTAAAATAAAGATAAAACTTTACCTACACCATGGGGAGATTAGGAGGAATGAATGGTAAAGCCTTTTAGCATGATGTCAACCCATAGGAATCACTATAAATTGTAATGCTGTGATTGTAGTCACTTATTACCTTTATAATGTAAAAAAAGAATATATACTATTTCCTACTACTGTTGACTGCATTAACTTGATAGAATTTTTTTTAGCAAGACATTGCTTACATGTGCATAAGTAGAAAGAGTAATTCTGATTCTTAGGTAATTTAATTCCATGCCCTTGCAAAATTCAGAGAAATAAAGTGATATAAATAAATTAATATATATATATCCCAAGTGCTTTCTTTCTGAAATGTTCAATAGTTAAAGTTTCCATAAAGTTGTTTCGCTTTTCCACTTCTCTTTGAAGTATAGAAATAGTTTTTCCTTCTGAAGGAAGAAAATATAATTTTTTTGAATATTTTATTCTGTAGTTATTATTAATGTATTTATCACTGGGATAGTACATCTTTCTTTCAACGTTCGCTAACTGTTCGTTCACTGTTAGTGTCTGGCGAACACCTACTGTGCACAGGTATGTAATTATTTTTCCCCCATCAGAAACTGTGACAGGACAAGACCATATTCATTCAACAAATATTTATTAAGCACCTACTGTGCGCCAGGTGTTGCGTGTCCAAGAGAGGAGTTTGTAAACCTTGGTGGAAGTAACTTATTCAACATTTATTTATAGGTTGATTTCTGGAATTGTTGCTCTATTTGGTGGTATTCTCCAAGTAGGTCGCTTGCATTCATTTAAGCAAGAATGTTGCCTGGGTAGATAATAAGATCCCTTGTGAGTCAGCAATACACATCAGCAGTTAGGGGGAAAAATATGAAGCATTTTTCAAATAGTGCTTGTTAGGTTAGCACGTTCTGCGTTTGGTATTACGTCTTGTAACTTATTTTCAGCCTTTCCCTATTGATCTGTGAGTGGCTGATACTCATTTTAAGAGAAACATTGCTTTCTCACGAAGTATGCTCAAATGTTTAAATTATTTACAAGGCCTCTATTGTTGTCTACTGAATCATAGTTCTCTAGAAGCGTGCTGATTTTTTTTTTTGGTGGGGGAGGATGTGTATTATCAGTTTACTTCTATTTAATATTAATACTTGGTAAACCAGCAGACTAATAGGGACCTGGAGATTCTACTTTATAGATATTCTACTTTATTTTGCTTATACGTTTCTGACTAATAAAGTTTCAACAAACTTTAAAGAATAAAATTAATTCTCTCAGTGAAAAGGTTACTTTTTTACCTCAATGCTATGTTGTTGAGGTTTTTAGTCATAGAGCTCGAAAATAAAATATTTCTACCCTGACATGATCCTTAATATGCTGCCGGCGGACCTGACCTGTCAAGGGAGGTTTCCACGCAGCATCTTGCCGCCAAGCGGACCGCCCTCTCTCCGCAGGGAAAGGGAGGACATTGCCAGGAAAAATGTTTTCAGTGCTAACAGAGAGGGAAACCAGTACAAAAGTTGATGTTTCCTAGTGAATAAGAATAAATTGCTTATAATTTTTTATTTCACAAAATTTTGTTTGTTTGTTTATAGGAAAAAATCTTTCCTGTTTTCTGCTCTGTACGCTGCCTTTATATTTGGTGGTCGACACTTAATGAACAAACGGGCAAAGTTCGAACTGAGGAAGCCGTTAGTGCTCTGGTCTCTGACACTTGCAGTCTTCAGGTAGGTGTGTTTTTTTTTTTTCATTTTCCTAGTAAAATGCATCCATTTCATCAGACTTGCTGAAAGAAAACAATGCTTGAGCATTTCATTTTCTAGCTGGTAACTTTTGATGATTGAGTGTATTGAAGACATAAAATGAAGCCATGTCCAGAGAGAGAGGCTTCGTTGCAACCACACTTGAGATGATCTAGACCAGAGAGTGTTTTTGCTTTGCGTCCCCAGAAGCACACTCCACTCCTTTGAAACCGGCATCAGTTTATGTAGCCAGTTTTTCCTTTGCATCCAGCAGAAGTCAGCATACAGGCTGTCAGGACAAAGCCAGGTCTCCCCCGTGACATCTGTCAGCCAGCGTGCAGACACATTCCTCCAGAAGCTTCAGGGAGAATTTCCAGTCTTGCATTATTTGGTGATCTAGGCGATCACAAGGCTAATTAGCACGCAGCTGGTGTCCATGCAGGTGCCAGAATTTACCTAGCGCTCTAACGATGGCACCTGTGCTGTTCGGGTTTTGCTTGCCAGCCAGCAAGTTTATAAGTAGGCGTTGGGAGTAGGAGAAGCAGATAGATGTAGGTACACCAGAAAACACAAAACGATTTTTATATTTATGAATGATTATTCACTTGTATTTTTCATATTACATATTAACTGTTCTACCTCTCAGCTGAAATTGAGGGTTTCAGTTACCCAAGATCATCTGCAGCCCAAAAATATTAAATGGAAAATTCCAGAAATGATAGATTTATAAGTTTTAAATGGCAAGCCAATCTGAGTAGCCTGATGAAATCTCCTGCTCCATCCTACTAGAGACGTGAATCACTCCTTTGTTCAACAGATCCATGCCAGTTAATAGCCGACTCAGTTACCAGACCGGCTGTCTCAGTACCGCCATGCTTGTGTTCAAGTAACCTTTATTTTACTTAATAATACCCCAAAGTGCACGTGTAGTGATGCCAGCAATCTGGATATGCCAAAGAGAGGCTATACGGTGAAAAGGTGAAAATTCTTAACATAATAAGTAAAGAAAAAAAATCATATGTTGAGGTTGTTAAGATCTAAATGTATCTTCTATCTGTGAAATTGTAAAGAAGAAAAAAAATTCATGCTAGTTTTGCTGTCGCACCTCAAACTGCAGAAGTTACAGCCCTAGTGCAGATAAGCGCTTCGTTAAGATGGAAAAGACATTACATTTGTGGGTGGAAGACATGAACAGAAATGTGTTCCAGCTGGGGGCAATCAGGTTTGGTACTGTCTTCAGCTCCAAGCTTCTTCTGGGGGTCTTGGAGCACATCCCCCTTGGATAAGGGGGTTGCTACTGTATGCCCGAGTAATTCCTCATGCCGTCACTCTGGTTCCCGTGTCCAGCTGTTTGATACAATTGGTGTTCATTCTTATTTTGAATCCCATAGAATGTACAAGCCACAACACCCCAATGAATGGTTTGTGCTTGGCTTTGGTGAAAACAGACTCCACACACTCCTCCGCCGGCATCTTTGAGTGGGAATGACTGAAGGGCCTGGAAGTTTCCAAACTGAGAGTCAAGGTCACCTTTGATCTAAAAAGGTAGATGTGGTTTAAGTAACTATACGAACAAGGTGAAGTCCAGTCTGTCTGCTGTGACATTAATGACAGGTTCACACTAAGAAACTCATTCAAGTATTTTTGCAGAAAGAGGACAGGTGTCAGAGACGGCTGGGCTTGGACACCTTCTGGATTTCGTATTCTGTATGGGCTTGAGTCCAAAAGTGACAATAATTACCTGTTAAAGCTGCCAAGTTTTCGGGCTGTTCGGATGACTCTGGTCTTGTAGTAGGGAAAAAAGATGAGTCAAGGTGCAAGAATAGTAACTGATTTTTATAAAAATTATTTCTAAAGGAGTAATTTCCTTGGAAGTGATTTGTTCGCTTTGACTAATCGAATGCAAAGTAGAGAAGCATCTGAGCAAAACCAGTCTGATAAAATTCACAGAAAATAATGAAAGAGGAAGCCCAGACATCCACTCCTGGAGGGCCGCAGTAGTGCAGGGTTGAGGATTTCCATCGGGTTCCTTGTGACTTTGAGCTAATTCATCAAAGCCTTTGGGTCTGGGTATAGGTGCGTGTGAGACAGAAAGAAGCTCTCAATATCGAATGGGATATTTTTATTGTTCTAAAAAGTCTATCTCCCCAAAATTTGTAAAAATACAGTGATTTAGGATAAACAGGCTCACTCTGTTGAGAAAAGAGAAACAGTTTTATAGGTTTTCCTCTAAATCCCCAAACCTTATAACCAGTTTAGGTGGTTTGTGCCAGGTGCTTAATCTCTGCTACCTGACTCAGCCTCACAACAGATCTACGAAGAAAATACTATTATAGGATGGTCCCATTTTATGAGGTGGGTGAGTTCCTTGAATATTTCCAAATAATCAAGTATTCAGAACTTTTATAATTTAAGATCAGTTTTCCCATAGGAATAAATGTCGAGTGGGGATGTATTTTAAGAACCCGTAAATCTATATCTATATAATTTTATGTTTTAAAACAATTTTAAACACAATAAATATTAATAAATACACATTAATAGTTAGCTTTTCGTTACTCAGAAGTTCTTGGTTCTGGCAGTTGTTTTTCAGTTTTGCCCTGAGCACTGCCGCTTAATGAACACTCGGATAGCGTTGCTATAATGCACCGACCGTGGTTGATAAAATAGCACCACAGTAATCACCAAAAGCACACTTAGGACTTCTGAGGCCCCTAAACAACAGAGGGGTTCAGAAGATAAGGCCAGAAATGGGGGGTATTTCCGTTTCCCACTAACGCCAC